TATGTTAAATCATTAGTTGTTTGAACATTTTAATTTGATAAATATTAAATTTAATATAAAATTAAATACACTATATAAAAGGATATGATTTAATTATCTAATCTAATTTATATATTAATATACAGTACTTATTGTATAAAATTATCTTAATATTGCTCACATTAATATAAGATTTAGGTAACACAAGTAAATCATCCAAAATACTGACAATTCTTACTAATTGTGTTATATTCAAGCCATTCAACAAAGTCTTTGGTGTCACAATGTATCTGTCATTAGTAATACTAGTTTAGTATAATAGACTCCGTGAATGAATCTTAACTATAGATAAGTTATCAAAACAATTCAGTTACCGGTATACAAAAACTTTTTGAATACATGTATGAACTTCACTACCGGTGTTATAAGAATCCAATAAAAAGCCAGAAATAGTGGCACTGATGACACTATGAAGAACTCAAAGTATAGCAAACAATTCATTGTAGTATACGATGAATGCAATACTAATTGTGTTGAATTTGTTATATTCATTGTAGACTTTGTAAATTAACTTTACACTAAAAAATAAGTTGTACTTAACCAGTATCATAAACTGTTTATTAATAACTGGGTGAAATGATAAAAATAATTTAACTTATACTTAAATTCTGATAACAATAATGTGAAAAATACATGTTTTGGCGCTTAATAGATATGAGCAAAAAACCCAATTAATTTCCTTATAATATTTGTTATAAAGATTAATAGTATTGGTAACAAAATTATCCTTCCACTCACTGAACATGTGTTAAATGTAAAGGATATTTATTATTATCATGAAATTATGAAAACATAACACATTTTTGTTAGTTATTGTTATAACTTATAATTTATATTTATTAAATATTTAGTTGCTACCCAATCGTATTGGAAATATTTATATAAATTAAGAATTAGTCTAATTACAATATAATGTTGATATAAACAAATGTCTTAATAAATTTAGAAAATATAGATAAAACATTTAAATGTCTAAAAGGTATTATAAAATAATGTAATTAATCCTGAATTTATAAAATAGTAAAATACAATTTCCAAAATAATTATGATAAATAATGCCATTATTAAATCACTCAATATTATTTATGTGGGTTTTATATCCAAATTATAATCAAACATATTTTTATTTTTAAAATTCCTAATATCATATTTTATTTTTATTGTAAAAATAATTTGTTAGTTTTTATTTTTGTCATATTTATTATTCAATGAGTTTAAACATCCAATTGATAACTGTTTCAATACTAGCACTTCAAACACAGTTAAGACATATTGAGATCACCAAAAGAAACTCATGGTATGATAGCTACGATTTTATAGTAGTCGGCTCAGGATCTGCCGGCGCTGTAGTGGCCAACAGATTGACTGAAAATCCAAACATAAATGTATTACTTTTGGAGGCCGGAGGACCTCAAACCACTGCCACTGACATACCGGGCACATGGATAACACTTTTGGGCACAGACGTGGACTGGGGTTACCAAACAGTACCTCAACGTAACTATGGTTTGGCTACCAATGGACGGGTAGGTCTGAGCAGAGGCCGAGTGATCGGAGGATCTTCGACTATAAATGCGATGATATATAACAGAGGAAACCGTAGGGATTATGACGAGTGGGCCAACACTTACGGCGCTAAGGGATGGAGTTTTGATGAAGTGTTGCCTTATTTTATTAAATCTGAAAATAATAGTGATTTACGAATAGTGCGATCAAATCCTGGCTTTCATGGCGTGGAAGGACCGGTAGGCATCTCCTCGGAGCCAAACCCTCAGCCTATACTTCAATTATATTTAAAAGCTATGAATGAACTCGGGTTTGAGACCATAGACGTGAACGGACCCAAACAGGTGGGGACAACCATCATACAAAACTTCATTGATGTTAACACTGGCTTTCGGTCGAGTACTGGAAACGCATACATTGACCCCAACCCACACCCAAATAATTTACACATTTTGACCAATGCTTTTGTCACCAAAATACTATTTAATGATAATCCGTATGAATTGAATTTAATGAATTTGAGGGCAACTGGCGTTCAATTCGACAAAAATAGCAAAACATATCAAATAATGGCTAAAAAGGAAGTTATTATAAGTGGAGGTATAATATATTCATATAATTACTATAAAATTCATACTATAAATGCTATATTTTTAAAATTTATTGTACAGGGACAATTAATTCACCACAACTTCTAATGTTGTCCGGAGTCGGACCAAGAGATCACTTGAATGAACTCAACATAACAGTAAGGGCTGACCTCCCCGTAGGTCTCCACCTTCAGGATCACGCGAATATCGGTCCCATTAATCCAATTATAAGAAATACCGTACCTATCAATCCATTGCCTGAAGTGACAAACACTCAATTAAACAATTTGTTAATCAACCGGTCGGGACCCCTATCCCGGTCTACGGCTCTCTATACATATCTCAACACCAAATCCAATCCCACTAAGGACTGGCCCAACATTATGGTCGGCACATCCGTGGCTAATATCGACTCTTCACAGATCTCTTACTATTTACAACAAAATAATCAATTAAAACAATACATGAATACATATTTGAGTGGTCAGTGGCTAATGGTATTCGCATATCTATATCGTGTCCGAAGCTATGGCACCATTAAGTTAGCGTCTAGTAATCCATACGATTATCCACTAATAGATCCCAAATATTTGTCAGACCCTCAAGACTATGAAGATGTGATGGAAATCTTAAGATTTATTTATTACTATTTAACACATTCATCACTTTCTAAATACATATACCTTATACCTCAACCCATACCAGGGTGTAGTGACTCTGTCTGTCCAAATGGAGTCTATTATTATGAATGCGATTCATATCTAAGATGTCTTATCAGACAATTGGGTTCATCGGTGTGGCATCCGGTGGGCACCTGTCGTATGGGATCGGCCGATAGGAATGATGTAGTGGTGGATCAGACTCTGAGAGTCAAAGGTGTCGGTGCCCTCCGTGTGTGCGATGCCTCAGTTATGCCTCAAATACCAAATGGCAACACAAATGCGGCCGCAATTATGATCGGAGAGAAATGTGCGGATATTATAAAAAATTACTTTCAAATTTAAACTTATTTGCTTGTTAGACACAGTAAAAATAGTTAAATTTATTTAATGATAATAAATTATAAGTTAATTTTTAAACTTATTTAAAAAAATAAACATTTTAAGTTACATATGTTAAAGATTATAGTTCTATCTACAGTAGTAGTATTTTTATTTTAAAAATTAATACAATTAATTGCTAGTTTATTATATATTTTAAAAATATAATTTGCTATTAAATATAAATTACAATAAATTAAAAATATATTTTTCATTTAACTTATGTGCAAATCTGATAAGGCATCACTTTCATATCTAAAGTTTACTATTTTATTTAAATCTAGCTTGGTTCTAACATATATTTTTAACATTAAAGTTTAACCCTTTTGGCGAGACATTATAATTACAATAAATTTCAATTTATAATTACAAGCACTATAAATAGAGTCTATATTTACGGTATTAAATGTTTACATAAATAGTTTAAATAAAGTCATCAACTCAAGTCATGTTATAAATTATAACTTAAAATACATAATATTTACACTGTATATTGGATACAAATAGAAATCAATTAATTCAATTATACCTCATGGGGGTTATTAATTATGGGCTAATCAAACAAAATTATATTTTTATTTTTCAAATTCTTCATTTTGTCTTTTTATTTTTAACATTAAAAATCATTTTTCTTTTTTGTTTGTTAATGTAATCATTATTCAATGAGTTTAAACATCCAATTGATAACTGTCTCAATACTGATACTTCAGCGACAGTTAAGCCATAATCAGCTCAACAAAAGAAACTCGTGGTATGATACCTACGATTACATTGTGGTGGGCGCCGGATCTGCCGGCGCTGTAGTGGCCAACAGACTAACCGAAAACCCAAACATCAATGTATTGCTTCTGGAGGCCGGGGGTCCGCAAACCCTGACCACCGATATACCGGTGACATGGATAGGCCTATTGGGTAGTGACATAGACTGGGGCTACCAGACAGTCCCTCAAAAAAACTACGCAATGGCTAACAATGGACGGGTACCCCTCAGCAGAGGTCGGGTAATAGGCGGCTCCTCCTCTATAAACGCTATGATATATAACAGAGGAAACCGTAGGAGTTATGACGACTGGGCCAACACTTACGGCGCTAAGGGATGGAGTTTTGATGAAGTGTTGCCTTATTTTATGAAATCTGAAAATAACAGTGATATGCGAGTGGTCAGCAAAAACCCTGGTTATCACGGAACGAATGGACCGGTAGGCATATCATCGGATCTAAACCCACAGCCGATATTTCAGTTGTATTTAAAAGCTATGAATGAACTCGGATTTGAAACCATTGACGTGAACGGACCCAAACAGGTGGGGACAACCATCATACAGAACTTCATTGATAGTAATACGGGTTTGCGGTCGAGTACTGGAAACGCATACATCGACCCCAACCCACACCCAAATAATTTACACATTTTGACCAATGCTTTTGTCACCAAAATATTATTCAATGATAATCCGTATAATCTGAGGGCAACTGGCGTTCAATTCGACAAAAATAGCAAAACATATCAAATAATGGCTAAAAAGGAAGTCATTATAAGTGGAGGTATAATATATTCATATAAATTTCATAAATATTGAATTTTAATTAATTATATTTTATAGGGACTATTAATTCACCACAACTTCTAATGCTGTCCGGAATTGGACCAAAAGACCATTTAAATCAATTCGGTATACCATTAAAAGCTGACCTCCCAGTGGGCGACCACCTCCAAGACCACCCGTATGTCGGCCCCATTACTCCAATCATCAGGAATAATGTTCCCATAAATCCGATGCCTGAGCTGTCTATCACCCAATTAGACCAGTTGCTAACTAACAGATCTGGACCCCTATCCCGTTTTACAGCCCATTTCACATATCATAATACAAAATCCAATCCCACTAAAGACTGGCCTAATATTTTTGTGGGCACCGGCATGACTAATGTCAACGAATCATTGATTGCATATTTATGGCAAAAATATCCGGATTTAAAACAGACTATGAATAGACGCTATTTGAGTGGTCAGTGGCTAACGGTATTCGCGTTTCTATATCGTGTCCGAAGTTATGGCACCATTAGGTTAGCGTCAAGTAATCCATACGTGTATCCACTGATAGATCCTAGATATTTGGCTGAAACTCAAGATCATGATGATATGCTCGAGGCCTTAAGATTTATATTTTATTATTTAACTCAATCATCAATGGCTAACTATGTATATGTCATACCAGAACCAATACAAGGGTGTAGTGACTCTGTCTGTCCCAATGGACTATACTATGAATGCGATTCATATCTAAGATGTCTTATCAGACAATTGGGTGCATCGGTGTGGCATCCGGTGGGCACCTGTCGTATGGGATCGGCTGATCGGAATGATGTAGTGGTGGATCAGACCCTGAGAGTAAAAGGTGTCGGTGCCCTCCGTGTGTGCGATGCCTCAGTTATGCCTCAAATACCAAACGCCAACACAAATGCCGCCACTATTATGATCGGAGAGAAATGTGCGGATCTTATTAAACAACAAATTTAAATTATTTTTAAATAATTTACTTTTTGTTTTTAATTAATAATTATAATTATAGTAAATTCTAAATTATAGCAAATAAAATTTCAAATAATTCATTTAATATTGTCAATTTTTATTTTGCATAATTTGCATTTATTAACTCTTGACATTTTTAATACTAAATTATACAAACTTATGTTATAAATTTAAGTTTAATGTTGTAATCTAAATTTATATAATTTAAAATAAATTTAATGCTTAAGTATTCGTAATAAAATAACATAATTATTATAAGGGTGTTTATTGAATAGTTATGTTTGTATCTTTTTTTTGTGTTTATAATTTATTTTATATTATAAATAAACGGTCTTGGATCATTTGACGGATTCAATAAACGGATTACTCTGAACCCTATTTAGTACCACTGTGTAAATGATTTAATTTGTGCAATTATGTGCAAACGTGCAATTAATTTCATTATAACAAAATTATTGGAAAATCCTATTTGTTATTTTGTGTTCAATAACAACCCTTTTTCAGTTAAAAACTACAAAATTTAAACAGAATTGAAAAAATAAGTTCAAAATTAGTGCATAAAAACACGGATTAGAAAAAGGATTTACGAAAACATTCACTGGAAATCTTACAAAAATAAAACGCCTAAACATTATTAGAAACACAATTGAATTTCCTGTCAATGATATGTCACTAAACGTATAAAACATTTGAGCAAAACATTCAAACTCTACAATCAAACTAATCACTAGTCTTATAGTTTATAATAAACTAATCCCAAGACTACCTCAAAAACAATGCTCCGGTATCTGATGGTTGTGTTGGCCGTACTGTTGGCCGTTATGTTGGCTCAAGTATCTCATGTGAGCGCCGGCTATCTCTATGGAGGGTATGTTTTATGATTAACTTTTCAAACGTATTTTATTTTATAATTTTTATCTCGATATAAATATTCTCTGTACTATTACTGTAATAATTAATTAGTATTAATAATTTCTGTAAATAATTTTCATTTATGATTTTAGATATGGAGGTTATGGAGGGTATGGCGGATACGGAGGTTATGGATATCCATACGGCTTGTAATATATAAACAATACTAAAATTAATATTTGAATAAAGTTATAATTTTATGTTTACCTAATAATTAGCGGCTATGGAAAGGGTTACGGATTTTATGGTTAACAAATTAATGGCTTGTCACTTCCCGGCTTTTATTGGATTTAAAAAATAAACTTGGTTACATTTTACTTCAAAATTATTTTTATTAATCAAAAGATTTTTTAATTACAATCTAATTATAATTATAATTCTGATCTAAATTTATTTATTATGCTTAATTGTTGTCTGCTCAAAATTTTTTATATTAAGAAATCTTATTTTGGAAATTGATATTTTTTAATAAAAATTTATTTTTATATAAAAGTTTATGTGTTTTCAATGTTTTCCTTTGATGACTTCAACGCCACTTCCAATTTGTTAATTAATATGAAAAATCTGAACAAAATTACGTAAACCTTTTAAATCAAAAAAGCAATAGAAATATTAAACATTATATTAAAAATATTAAAATATAAAATATAAACAATTTTATATAAAATAATTTTAAAAACTGTTTATAAAATATTGCATTACTTTATATGAATTAAAAGAAGTCATAAAGAATTGGTTTCCACACGAAAAGCCTATTAATTGTCTTTTACTGTCCACCGTCTCTATCATTGATAATAACTACAGTGTATATAAAAATCAATAAAATATAATATAACATTAAAGTTAATAAAAAAAATGAAAAATTATTTTACTTACTTTTAATTTTAATTGTTTAGATTTAATTGACTTTTGTCTGTAATATAATTGAGTGAATAAATTCTTTGAAGTAATTAATTGCTTATTAATATTAGACGTGAAAGAAATGATTAAAACTAAAAATACTGCTCCAAATGTACAGACTATGAGCACCGGTATGAAAGAGATGTCTAGTTTGCCAAATAGGACTTGATGAAAAACAAACAAAATAAATGGTATATAAGTGTAGATAACTATAAAAAATATTTTCTTCCAAAACATATTGAAATTAATAATTGTTTTATACGTTTGACTGCACTCTTGAATGATATTATAAACCCTTGTATTGGAAGTAAATAGGATTTCATTAATCAATTCAAATATAGTCTTATTGATTGACTTTATTAAAAATCTACTGTAAATACAAACAATTAAAAAATATTTTGAAACTGTGTATATAATCATTGGACAGTAATATAGCCAGTGAAAAAATATCAGTGCCGATGGTACTCCATGTAATAATAAATTTTTAAAATCATAATTAACTAGTAGCAAAATTATTATAAATAACACAAATGAACTTCTCACTAATGTTACCATACAAGTGATACTGTATTCAATAAATATTGAATACTTTATGAAACGTTTTACATAATGTTGATCATTAATTGTTAGCTTGTTTAGAGGTGATACACCTTTTAATACATACAACAGTGATAACCAATTCTTTTGATATTGAGTTGAAGTCAAGAATTGATAACAGAATCCACTGATAAGTACTGACACATCGAAACCTATTATATGAAAATAAGTGACAAAACCGCCTAAATTTGGCATAAAATCAAAACAATAGTAGGGAACTAAACCCGTATTGTCTGTCAAATACATATACAATAAATATTTAAATGAAGAGAATATGAAATAAAGTAACAGACAAATACTTTTCCATTTATTATTGCGGTTATAATATCTATAAATATATCCAAGATTAAAGATAATATCGATGTCATCGAGGGTTATCCCATCATCTAATCTGTCCGATAAATCCAATTCTTGACTATTAAAGAGTTTCCATTTGCAATAAATATTTTTAAACCCAATGAAATCCATTACTAAAGAAATCACTTCTTGAAATGCCCTCAAAATATACTCAACTATCCAATGAAAAATAAATATTATTATAAAAATAAATATAAAAGTATAAATATTAAATAATATTTGCGTCATAAATAGTCTTACTTAAGAATATTATAATAGACTACATGTATAATAATTTTTTGTAATATACTTATTATTCTGTATATTACTGTAAATATGCATATTAATTAACGTACAGTGTATTTGCAATTAAAAAATAAGTATGCTATTAGATTCATATTAAATGCATTAGCAATAATTTCACTAATTATAATAAAATTATTATGATATTTTTATTGGAGTCATTTATAATGAATAAATGTTTAAATCATCACATTAACGAGATCAATTTAAATAGAATGTACTAAGAATTAAATGTGCGAATGAATTATCCCAGGATAAAAATAGCAATAATTTTTTATTCATTCAAATGGACGAATATACAATAAATTGAATAAATTTAAAAATAAATATCAACTAAAACATCATTTGTATAAAATTCTTATAAAATAAATGATAAATTATACTTAAGTACTGGTAAACTTTAAAATACCTTATTATACCCTAAACTCAAGTACTTATAGCTTTCACAAAAATTATCAAAAATAAACTATATAAATTTAAATGATATGCTTTATGTTAATATTTATATTCTATATACCGGTCACATAATTTTATTTACTATTTATTTTGTTTATATAATAATCACATTTATATCTATATAACAATTTAAATTTATTTTTGACTCAATTCTCATTCGTAACTATTTTTTTATAATAAAAAGTTTTTGGGTGAAAATTTCTTAGCATTCATTGGCAGTGCCATGACTTGCACCAAATGTTGTAATCAAAGGGTAATTAATGAATAATAAATTTAATAATTTTAAGTATTATATATGTAGCTTATTGACCATAATTCACTGCCAGCACATACGGTAGTATAATAGCTCTTATATAACACATTTATATACACAAAATTCATATATTTTCAATGATTTCTTTTGATGACTTCAACGCCACTTCCAATTTTTGAACCAATATGAAAAACCGGAACAGCATTACGTACACCTTTCAAAATGAGATTGTAATATGTGATTAATTTATTATATTATTAAAATATTGTTAAAATTATTAAAAATCTGTATATGATAATATTGAGAAATCTATTTACAAAATATTGCATTACTTTATATGAATTATAAGGAGTCATAAAGAATTGGTTTCCACACGAAAAGCCTATCAAATGCCTATTACTGCCCACCGTCTCTATCAGCGATAATAACTATAAGAAAAGTAAAAAAAATATAACATTAAGACAATAGAAAGTAGTTATAAATAAAATATTTCACATTACTTTGAGTTTTAATAGTTTAGATTTAATTGATGTTTGGCTGTCATATAATTGAGTGAATAATTTCATAGATGCGATCAATTGCTTGTGTATATTAGATGCGAGAGTAATGAGTAAAACTAAAAATATGAGACCAAATACACAGACAGTGAATACCGGTATGAAAGAGATGTCTAATTTGCCAAATAGGACTTGATGAAAAATAAATAAAATAAATGGTATATAAGTGTAAATAATTATAAAAAATATTTTCTTCCAAAACATATTGAAATTAATAATTATTTTATACGTTTGACTGCACTCTTGAATGACATTATAAACACTTGTATCGGAAGTAAACAGCGATTTGTTAATCATTTGAAATATAGTCATATTAATTGATTTGAATAGTATATTACTATAAAAGCACACAATTATAAAGAATTTAGTTGTTGTGTATGTAATCACTGAGCTGTAGTATAACCAGTGGTAGAATATTAAAGCCGATGGTAATCCATGTAATAATAGATGTGTAATATTATAATTAAATATTAACAAAACAATTACAATTAAAATAAATGATAATCTCACAGATTTGACCACGAGTGTGACACTGTATTCAATAAATATTGAATATTTTATAAATCGTTTCACATAATGTTGATCATTAATTGATAGCTTGTTCAGAGGTGATACACCTTTCAATACATCCAGCAGTGATAACCATTTCATTTCACATTCAGTTGACGTCAAGAATACAATACATATTCCACTGACAAGTACTGAGACATCGAGGCTTACGATATGAAAATATGTGACAAAACCGCCTAAATTTGGCAAAAAATCCAAACAATAGTTGGGAACTAAACCCCTGTTGTCTGTCAAATACATGTACCATAAGAATCTAAATGAACTGAAAATAAAATATAATAAATAGTAAACACTTTTCCACTTATTATTGCGGTTATCATATCTATAAATATATCCAAAATCAAAGATATCATCAATGTCATCGAGGGTTATGGCATCGATTAATCTGTTGCTTAAATCCAATTCTTGTCGATCAATGTTTTTCCAGTTCTTATAAATATTTGGATCAATACTTTTATAGACTTTTGTCGCAATGCAATTCATTACTAATGTTTTCAAATGGACTTAAAATATTCTATTGAAAATTAACTAAAGGTTTTCCATTTAAAATAGTTTACATCATAAAACAATTACTTTAATATAGTAGTTTTACTTAAGATATTATTATAGTACACTTAACAATCATTACAATGTATACTGTGTTTTAAAGTAGATGTGCTTTAATTAAGTAATATACTGTATGTTTGCAATTAACAATAATTGCATTATTGGATAAATATTAAAACATTAGCAATAATACAAGTATCACTAATTATACTAAAATTATGATATTTTTATGATCAATTTAAATGAAAAGTATTTATGTAAAAATGAATTACACTATCATAAAAATAACTAAACAATTTAATAGTCTACAATTTAAAAAGTTTTTTAAAAACTATAAACTGAATAAGTTTTAAAATAGAAGTAAAATAAAAATAACA